CTGGCAAATTTTACAGGGAAAGTTTTGTCTGAATGAAGATTTAATTCATTTGAAAGGGTTCTATTTTAACGGCAGAATGTCTTCCTACCGCTTGTTCCGGACAACCTGAAACTTAATGGATTACAAGCTAGGCTTGGGTAAATTATGTCGGCATAATTTCGAGCATAATAGGGCTTCAGAAGCATAATAGACACTTAAGAGTTAAGCCCCGTTTACACGAGCAATTTTGATGTGACAATTTTGATGTGACAATTTTTATTTGCTCGTGTAGACGAGGAAAATTGGGCAATTTTTGTGTGGCAAATACAGTTGCTGAAAAGCTAGCGCGTTAGCTTTTATATGACAAATAAAAGTTGTTACATACGAAAAATTGCTCGTGTAGATTACTTGAAATTACGTAAATTTCCATCTACAAAACCCACCAGCAATTAATTCTATCGAGTACCTATTATGAGCAAGTTGTCGCTGTTCCGAAAGGATTAAAGGAGGTGCAAAGTGTCAAACTGGACGGGCATTCTATATCATAATAATGATGCCGACGAATAAATAGTTGCAAAACTATACCTGCGCGTGCGATCAACTGTAGCCTTAATATTGATCGGCAATCACAAGTTATTCGTGATCAGCTACAATTTTGCACTGAGAACTTAACCTTGAAACAGGGAAGTAAAGCATCAAAAGACCTGATAATATATACGTATGTGTATGTATATCAAATTACTCTGTGATTCCTCACTTATAAAATATAACCTAGTATCATTCGTGATGACAATTAAAACATATGTAGTTGAAACTTGAATATATGAAAACGTTTTCTGAATTGCCGGTGTTTTGTATTTTGTAAAGATTCTGAGTGGATTTTTCAGAATTTTAAATACTGTAAGTAAAATACATGAATTGTTGCGCGAACAGTAAAAGTTCGCGCAACAATCCATTATCAATCTTCAGTCATTATTTCCTATACAATCTCCGTTTTGATTGTGTAATTATGACATCACAGCTGCAGATATAGCTTTCTGAATGTAAATATGACATCAATTCTGCCAGCAGAAAACGAGCTTCTTTACATGCAGAACATCTAAAGCCATGGCCCATGGTGAGATTTGTTTTTGTAACTAAAAAAAGAAGCGAAATACACTAAAGAGCTTACAAACTAAGACAGCGAAAAGAGAGAGAAAAACACAACCTCGGCATTGATAACTTTGAATATCTTGCGAAAAATTATTAATTATTGTCGTAATAGATTTTTTGAAGTTTAGTAAATTTCGTGTCCGCATGTCCGCGTTTTCCACTTGACTTGCGTGTCCGCATGTCCGCGTTTTCCACTTGACTTGCGTGTCCGCATGTCCGCGTGTCCGCATGTCCGCGTGTCCGCATGTCCGCGTGTCCGCATGTCCGCGTTTTCCACCTAACCGTAAGGTTTCTATTAAGCCGGTTTTCCACTAGGCGGAATTTTGCGCGCGGAGTGGAATTTTTCTTTGTCTTGTGATTTCTCGGGTGGAACTAATTAGAAAAGACAATGAAAGATTCCGCTCCGCGCGCAAAATTCCGCCTAGTGGAAAACCGGCTTTAGCGACTAATCTAGTACGGGGACGTGACAAGAAACAGCCTTATATTTTACACTTTTAAAATTATAAAGAACCACTGTTATTAAGAATTTTCTCAAGCAGGACGAAAGTGTAACGAGGACGACTAATAATATCATATTAATGCAAGAAAATGAGCAGAAATGAACAATTAAAATCCCACGAAGTTTCACACGTCGCCATTGCTCTGTTTACAACGGAAAAATACAGATTATCACGTCTTGTATACAACGCCTATAATATTATCAAGCTGGGACAACTGCTACTTTAAATTGGGTCCTAGAACTTTTCTCAATTATAAACTCTGTGTTAATTGATCCTTAAACTGTATTATTTTCATACGATAGATAATATACGACAGGGTTTCTTCTGCAATCATTTGGTTCAACGAGTTTGTTTGGGGAAGTGCATATCAGACATAAATAAAGTTCAAATTAAACAAAACAAAGTAATAAGAGTTATCTTCTTTGCCATTACCCATGGGCAAAACACATGCAGAAAGCGCCCTACCCTATATGAATTTATTAAACATCCTTTCCGTTATAACACTCCATAAATTGCAAATTCTTAAATTTGCTTATCGATGGCAAGAAAATGAATTACCCGAAATTTTTTGATGACTATTTTCAGTATTCTTGCGATGTACATCCTTACAGTACGAGATATGCTTCTAACAAAAATTTCTATAAGCCAAAAACAAGAACTAATACTGGAAAACAGTCTGTATATTCAATAGCAGTTGATTTATGGCAAGAACTTCCTTGTGACTTTAAAATTCTACCCAATTTCTCATTTAATGGAAAAGTTAAACAATTCTTACTTCAAAATCAAAATAGTAAATAAAATTTGACTGCCAATGTTTATTTTGTTTTGTCTGTGATTGTTTTGTTTGTTGTGTTGCTATAATAAATCAGTATATATCTTTATATAGCTGGGAGCTAACTAGAAAACTTCAGTTTATTTAGCTTCTAGACACCTTATATATATATACCATACGTGGCATATCAACTTATATATTGTATATATTTCTCTCCATTTTGTAAATAATTAATGCTAAAAAAGGTGTAATAAAGTTATTGTTGTTGTTGTTGTTGTTTGCCGTCGCGTTCCCGTCCTACATGCTTAAGGTCACTATTGCCAATGTTGCACGACGTGAAGAAACCAGCTGCAAAATGTGACGTACATCGATTTAATTTTATCGAAATTAGTTATTGATGTTCATAGATTTAATTGCAAGAATTGATCAATTTGTATAAATTCAGTGGAATTTTCAAATATTTTCGATATTTTAAAAACTAATCACGTATTCCATGCTTCTGATCGCGTCTAATGCTTGTGGTTTTATGATTTATTCTATTGATAATTTCCAAATGTGCCGCGAATTTATCATATTGATAAATTCGGAAGTGTTTAACAATTTACTCATATAGTAAATTCAAAGGTGGGGCTCATGTTGGTCAAAACCTATAGGGATTTGAATATTTGAAAAACTATTTCGCGTATTTCACTTTACAATGAGACAATAATAATGTTTTTGTTGAGCAGGAATGGAATTCAATCGTAGAAATGTAATAATGTTTGTAGTGGGTGTTCTAGAAGGCATGCAGTATACGTATATATGCTGGTATACTTGCATGCGGAAAATCAATGGTTGCGTTTTCCGAAAATGTTGCGCAAATCTTTCAAGAGAGCAACCATTGAGCAGTTGTCAGACGGAATTAGCTTGGAAACGCTGAAGACAGTATCAGACAGCCTGTCTGTGGTATTTTAACAAACGGCGATCTGAAACCCAAATGTCTAAGGTTCTTAATTCAACTTTATTATGCTGAGAATGAGGAGAACGTTTTAAAAGCCTACATTGTACAGGTAGGCGATGTGCAACCACTCCGATGGGATTCAAAGAACAAAGAGATTTTCGCCATGTTGAATGAAATTTGCATTGCGAACAAGCAAAATCCTTTATCAATGACATCCAACAAGGGGACGGTGACGTAACTTTCACACCACCTATTGGAATATCTTACCAAGAAATCAAAATTTAGAGCAAGGGTTATTTTTGGGGGGCACTGGAAGCATTATCTCATGCTATTTACCGTTCATGGACGAGAAGTGTGTGAGGCAACTCGGGATGAGCTGCATGTGTCAGCATTGGGTTGTTATTTAGATTGTTTCTAAACTGGTTGTTAAAAGCCAAGGTGAGTCATTGAGTCTCAGACTGGCATTACAGGTGCTTGTTACATTGGCAAATATCTTGATGGCAAATAATGAAACAAATGTTTTGCAAGAAATTAGAAGATAGCATGGAATCATCATGCCAACAATTAGTGGTCTCAAATAAGGTAAGTTATTGTCTCAAGGCAGGTATTAAATCCTGCTTAAAACCTATCAATGTAGTGTAGTCAAATTTGTATTATTAGAAAATGGATTTTCGGCTACGACAGCAAACTTGTCTGACGGATTTCCATCTGATATTAGAAATATTGAACAAAACACATTGGACGGATAAACCTGAAAAATTTGGAATCCTAGTCTCTTTATGACCTTATTATAACTGAAACATGTCTTGATTTATTCATTCGATATGAATTTACGATGAGTTTGCTGGCAGTATAAGACAATGAACTTGTCTAACTTTGCGGTCCATTCAGACAGAAAAGTTGAGACAGAGAACCAGCTGTCTACCAAATTTATATCTCGACGAGTTTTTCGTCTTAGACGAGTTTCCCATCTCCGTTTTCTAATATTAATTCGGTTGGTATAAATTAAGTGGAGGGAAATTATACATGTCTTCACTAACGTTTAATTGACTGCCAAATCTTGTCAACTCACATTGACTCCCATGCACTCTTATCAACTTTGAACTGGTTCAACTTTGAACTGGAGAGTTTTCACGATGTGCATGGTAATATCCATCCGTTCCGCATATTGTAAACAATAAGCATTGGACAAAAATTTCAGTTATAAATGTAATGGCCCTGAAAGGGAGGGGTGGGGTGATTGAGAAGGGTAATCAATCTTAGGGGTTAGAGGTTAGGGTTGGGGTTAGGATTAAGGTTAGGATTATGGACAGGATTAGGGTTAGGACTAGCGTTTGGTTTAGGGGTATTCTATTTATAGACCCATTACAACCCAATATTTAATCGTACAATAGCTTTACAACGCCAATATATTAATTTCGAGGAGTCGAATTGACTCCAAAAGTGGAGTAAATAAAAAAGGTACAGAACGACTCCTTCTTTGGAGTAAATTTTACTCCTTTATTTACTCCATTTTTGGAGTAAATTTTACTCCATAAGTAGAGTTGTTTTCACTCCTCAAAGAGTAAAAACAACTCTACTTAAGGAGTAAAATTTACACCAAAAATGGAGTAAATAAAGGAGTAAAATTTACTCTAAAAAAGGAGTCGTTCTGTACCTTTTTTATTTACTCCACTTTTGGAGTCAATTCGACTCCTTTGGAGACAAAATGACTTCTATATATCAGAGTAAAGAAAAGTCTTTAACTAACTTTAGAAATCAATAAAGACATTTTTCGAGTCAAAATAATTTATTATCCCTACAAGAAAGGTATATTATAGCAGGAAATACAATTTGCTGTAGCATAATATAATGATATACTCTTACGCCCCATAATATTTTAATGAAGTTCTAAATTGATTAGAATGATATCATGAATACATGATAAGAATGATATCATGAATACATGTGGAATACAATTACAAGCCTGTCAGCATGAATTGAACCTGCAGTCCTGCAATTCTACCGCAGCTCTCTGACCTAAAGAGCCCTTTTTCCAAGAGGTAACCACAAGTTGCTGTATATATACCATGGTGGTGTCATTGGTAGTGTATTAAATAAACTTCCCAGGATGACACTAGTATTATATACATGAACTATTTGTTACAGTAGAGCTTGATTGACTCTCAGGGCGATGGACTCTTAGGGCTTCAGGACCCTTGATGGTTAAAAAGCTGATCAGAATCACCTGTAGGGCAGCAGGTTCCATTCCCAGCACAGTACCGGCTATTACATAGTTATCGTTCAAAAAATTTACATTTACAGAAAAGCTTTAACCCATTAAGTGGCAGCACTCTCTCCTTAATGAGCAAAAATTGTCTGACCACATTTGACAGAAAAAATAAAAAGTAAAGCAAATTGCCACTTAAAGGGTTAATATTCTGTTCAATGTAGAATCTTTACAAGTAAAATATACTGCATGTATTAAATGTATGTAGTGTCACTTCTCAATCAAACATGTCAAGCAAGTCCATTAGTAAAAATTTAGTACAAAACAAGCTGTATACCACAAGTCGGCAACTCCATCCCTTGCATGGTTTGGTAATTCACAAAAATGCTCTCCAGCAAAAGAATAACATTTTCCAAATACACCATGAAGTTCTTAGAATGCCATTAATGATTACATATAATACCACTTGTTTTGACAACTTGCCTTCTCCTGGGAAGCTTTTGTTAAATCCATATATTAATGAGAATCCCTAGTAAGAAAAAAATATATAAGGTTGATATATAACAGCAGCAAATTATTGATTGATGTTTGTGATGTTACTCTGAGTGTGCATCCACACCGGGCAAGCTGAAAAGTTAGTTTGGGCACGGTGGGAATCGAACCTGCGGCCTTTGGGATACTAGTCCAATGCTCTGCCAACTGAGCTACATGGTCAAGTCTGTTCGAGTTGATGATATTTTGGAACTGAGTCTAGTTCCTTCGATATCAGTGTACAGGGGTATTCAATGATACGATTATTTTGTGTGTGTTGGTGTCATGTACTCAGGTGAATATATGATGTTTGTGATGTTATTCTCACCAGTAGCGTAGCCAGCCCGACTATTTGGTCCCGCTATGCAAATATTTTCATGTTCATTGACTGTGAAAACAATAAATTTCTAGAGAAATGAATAATGATAATAATTTTGAATTTGCATAGCGGGACTAAATTAGTAAATTGTCGGGCTGGCTACGCCACTGACTCTCACTGAGTGTGCATCCACACTCGGCAAGCTGAAAAGTTAGCTTGGCCACGGTCACAGGTTTGATTCCCACTGTGGCCAAGCTAACTTTTCAGCTTGCCCGGTGTGGATGCACACTCACAGTAACATCACAAACATCATATATTCACCTGAGTACATAACACCAACACACACAAAATAAAAATTATTGATTGATTGACAATGAATTTGCTATTTTTGGTCGTTTGCATACATACAAAGCAAGAAATACAAAATTCAAATGCTTTTACTCATTTAATTGTAAGCATGCAATTGAACTAACATCATCCAAATGAATACAACTTTTCTGGTAAAGGGTGTTTAAAATAGAAGTGCATAATTGACCCAAAATTCATTGTCCCAAAATCTTGCTAATGCCAAGCTAGGATTTTCCATATAAATTATATACAATCACCCACGATTTGGCACGGTATTACCCCTGGGCCCAGCTGGGTAAAAAAGATCTCTGTGATTGTTTTTGTCAGTTTATACATTTCGAGACTGTCTGCAAAAGTATGAGTGATTGATCACTTGTTGGTTCACTTTATTGGGAAATGTGCTTGTACTATATAACTCAGTCTGCAGTGGGTGATTTGTTTTTTTCAAGCCTGCCCATCTAAAGAGGCTCATGTAACCAGACATTCATCTAGGGAAAGCGAGCTATAGCCGGGTTACCTGGGCGGCTCGCCTCTATATAAGCAGCCCCTACCAGGGGCGGATCCAGCTAAAAATCTGACTGTAGCATAATCCCAAACTGAAGAGGCACCACGTAATCTAGGGGGGTCCGGGGGCATGCCCCCCTGGAAAATTTTTGAAATTTGAAGCCCGGAAACACCATTTCCTGCATTCTGAGCATCGAATTCTGTTCTAAAATTTGACCTTAATAAGGCCATATTTTAGACAAAAAGTTACAAAAACACGTAAATTAAAGACAGTAAAATGGTTAAACGACATACCAAATCATACCAGATCTACATTCTTAATTACTGTATGCAAGTTAAGACCAGCCTTCCTCCCCATATTAATATGTAATTTAATATCATACCGCACATGTGTAACATATATAAACACAATTACAATCAATGCATATAAAATCAATGGGCAGAACGATATATAACGCAAACAGACACATTTATATACTGAAAGAAACCTTCGGATTAACAGAGATTCAACCACTTAAATATACAAGCCAAATTTCGATGTTTTGCTTGTATTTTTGAGTTACAGTAATTCTGTAACATACCCTATCTCTCAATCCGAAGCTTTGTGTTGTTATATTAATTTACCAGTGTGGAAAGTTTGTATCGCGCGGCGGAAATATCGGACGCGCAATTTTGATGCTTTCTATATATTTACTATTAAATTTTCGAAATCTCCGGCGCGCAATTTCCAAACACTGGCACGGAGCGTTTACATTTATGTTCTGTTTATTAATATAATATATTCTAATATTCATAAACTTACCTGACCCGAACGTGGTTCAACGAGCGCGCTCTTTCACCGTTTCGAATTGTAATTTCGAAAAATCACACACAAATACCTCGCGATCTTTCAGTTGATCGGCCTTAACTTTGCTCCCGACGGCATCCTCACATAGCGCTTTAGTCTACTTAGTTTTTCTTCGAAAGAAATTGGCTCGGTAAAAGCGCAAACAAATATAGCCAAATAACATCGCTCTAAAGTTCCTATCGAATTACGCAACTGTAGCTGACTGTAGCTGACTGTAGCGCATTGCAGCACTGTGATTGGTTTGCTTCATCTGACTGTAGCAAAAATGCTAAATTTAGTAACTCGTCCCCCCGCTGACTGTAGCATTTTGACGTAAGACCCCCAGTTGACTGTAGCATTTTGACGTCATAAATCGCTATATTTAGACCACTTTTCTGAACGCTTTTTGAACGATGTTTAAAAAATTTAGGTGATTTCCCCTAAAAGCGGGCGTTGTTTCGGGTAAAAATCAGGTTAAGATAAGCGCGTAAAAACGTAACTTAATATTCGTAGCTCACAAAAAACGTACGGACATCTGGTCGAAGCTGTGGAAGTGATTTTTTTTTGAGATAGAAAAACAGGAAAACTTCTATAAGGAATTTTTACTATCACCACATTCAGTATTAAAAATATTTTTGCACGAAAATCTGACTGTAGCATTTGCTACAGTTGCTACAGTCTGGATCCGCCCCTGATTAAATTTAACTATGGCATATTACTAATTTTGTGATGCTCTTTCAAGCTGTGATGAAATTTTTGTCTAGATCAAAATTTAGTCTATAATGCAAATGGTCCATTGCGTGGTTAAATAATTAATAATAGAGCATTCATTCATTAATTCATTCATTGAATATTCAAACGTACGTAGAATAAACCACAGACTAGATAAGGACCTATATAGAATCTTTATTTGGTGGAATAAACGCTTTTTCAAGCCACCTCTCATGCACTTTCATCCTTGTTTGATCGCGCGGGCTATACTAGCGAAAAATGAACCACCTTCAATATCATAATATGAATTTCACTGGAACGCCTGCATGAGTTTTACTTACCGAAATGCCATTGTGAGAGGTATCATAAAATTGCCCAAAATCGCTTGCAGATACGGAGCTGTTCGGCTTCCACTGCCGGCAAAGACGACCAGAAGTCCATTTAGTGCATCAAAGAGACCAACTAAAAACAGCTGCGAGTGAGGAAAACTTCGTTCTGTTTCGCCGAGCCGGTGCGGTTGAAACAGGCGAATAAAAATCAACGTCGTTCCGAAAATCACGACGAACGAAATACACGCAAACGAATAGACGAAGAATCCGTCAACCCGCGGTTGATATTCATCGCCATTGCCAGAGGAATTTGTATGGTTAGCTAAATTCGTATGGTTCGCTTTCCCGCCAGATGGTGGCGACATTGTCGAATCAATCCACAAAGGCAAGCTGACATTTTGCCCCACTTGACCGGCGATTGCCAAAAACGCAAAGAATATATTTGCTACGGTCAAGCTGACCTCGAAACGTCCGAATTTTACGGTCTTACGTTGTTTATATGGTAGCGCGTTTACAACAGGCATAAGATCATCAGAAGGATCCATAATATTTAGGTGAGGAGAAAGTATATATCGTTTGATAAATACTGATAACTCAAAGCATTACGTCACGAGAAAGTCACAAGACTATTTTGATAGGGAAAACTCAGAGCATATTAAAAGTCACGGGAAAGTCACAAGACAGCCTCTCCCACAGGCATCTCGGTGCGTGCGTGAGGAGGAGAAGGCTATAGTCACAAGACTAAGACTATTTCCCAATGTGCAATTTGATAGGGAAAACCCAATAGAACAGTAAAAGGTCAACAAAGGTAAGCTTTACAATTTTTACTATGTTATCTTGTGTACAAAAAAATTTACAAACAATTAATAACATACTTAGGCATGTCAACTGGTTATACCATTTAAACCTGCCTCTAAAATACGTTAAAGACAATATATTTCTATAGGCCGGTTTAAGCCTGGTTTCCATTTGGTCGTGATGGTCGTAAAAATATAGTCATGATCTTTCTCAACGGCCGGTTTACAATAGTTTATACTTGTAAACCAAATCATAAGTATTCTCTAGTTTATTTTGTGTGTGTT